GAGTTATGCAGTGTTTTATTTTTATAAAGTATTATAAATAAATATTAGTAATTTATAACTTTAAGTCTAGGCTCTCAATAAAATTAATTACCATAATATCGTCTTCTCCTCTATAATAATATAATATATAATAACATAAAATATATACATAATAATATGTATACACACACACACACACACACACACACACACACACACACACACGCACACGCTCACGCACACACACCTACACACACACACAGAGGAAAATCTCTATTATGAGATAGGCGTCTAATATGAAATAGCGGCGTTTCTGCTCAACTAATAAGCTATCTATTTATTCCACCATAAGTTTATTGCTTTTGGATTGAAAATTATTCAGTGGAAAATTCATTATTAGATCATGTCTGTAGTTATTGTGAAAAAAGATTTTAGAATTTAGATGTCTTCAAGTTTTATTGAGATGAATCTTTAAACTTTGTTCATTATTTAATAAGTAAATATTTTGCAATAAATTTTTCATGTTATAATAGAGATCATACTAATAGACAAATATGGAATATGTTGAATTGCTTCATTATAGAAGTTAGATTTGATGATCATAAATCTGCAAGGCGTGGAAATCGTAATATGAAATAATCTATGCTCCTACGTCATAGTAAAAATCGTTTCTAAAGTATAAATGTGATTGTATGATAATAAAAAGGCTAAATCGGAATGAATATCGAGTGCCTGTTTCTGCGATGCTTGGTTCCAACTAACTGAAGATGAGTCCTGGGTACAATGCATTGCATGCTCATTTTGGCGCACACTGGCTGTGTTTGTTTGTATTTTACATTAAATAAAGTTTTTTAATTGAAATACTGATGTACTTTGCATTTTATTATTGATTTTTCGAGAGATCTCATATATAGGAGTACAATTTTTTTGACTTTGCGATTTGCTCACTTTCTATATTTCTTTAATTTAAAAAAAAATTGAATTTGAATTAAATTTGATAATATTATTTTAAAATTTATTAAATTCTCTTCAAAATGATCTATTATTTTTTAAATTCTGCTCATAAACTTCTAACATTTACTTAAAATAAACTTGATATCTCATAATAGGGCCTTTCCCTCTCTCTCTCTCTCTCTCTCTCTCTCTCTCTCTCTCTATATATATATATATATATATTTGTTTAATAAACATTTCTACACATTTTAATAGTACACAATAATTTGACAAAAAGTACGCTTTTTTATTTTTCACTTTTTATATGAATCATGGTTTATTGGATAATCACACAGATTGACGCAATACGATAAAATTGTCTTCGTATTTTTCCGTAACTTGAAGTATTGGTTTTTTTTTACGATACAAATAGAAGATGATCTCAATTAAAAAATAAGGAAATCTTGTTAATGGTAAAAAAGGAACAGATGTAAATTGAGATAGTAATGAGCATTCCATGAAAATTCTTAAATGGTGACGCATAATGTCTTAATTTTAATACTGGAATTTCTAGTGGATTGCACTGTACCTATTAAAATTCTACTTAACTTTTGATCTATCTATCTTTTATATCTTTATTTTGAGTTTTTTTATCAATACATACAATTAAAATGACATTTTACATACACGATTATTATTGATAATGACACAGGAAAATTATCTGCAAAGTAAATCATTATTTAACAAAATCATTTATTATTTAATCAAAATAATATATTGAGCGATTATGTTCATAATTAAAGACACGTGAAAGATTGACAAGGTCATTCTTCGAATCCTTGACCATACCTATGGACCAAACATCGCAATTTTGTATTGACTATATTTGTGCCTTTAAGTGAGTGGATCATGTGTCCGTGATGCGTAACGATCGTAAATGCGTTTTTGTTGTCTATTAGAAATCGGCATTCAAGATGCGTGACAAGCTACTCCGCAAGATCGAGACAAATGCCATTAGCTATTTATATAATTTACTACTATTCGTAATGCGCGCAACGAACTTTGGCACTGGGTGGTCCTTATTTGTAAGAGACCGCGCATAGCGAACAAGCCTACGATCTACGTGGCGTGAAACACTAATGAGCAGCTGATTTAGCGCACCCTCATATCTATTTGAGTATTCAAATCGTGTCGGACGGAAGCTAAATAAGAGTATGAAATTATATAGACTTAGCAAGAGCAATTTTTGTAACGGTAACAACGACGAAAAGATAACAATTTAAGAAGAAATACTATAAAGAAATTATACAATAAATAATACATTAAATAGAAAAAATAAAAAGGCAAATTAATAAAATCAAAAGAAAGTAGAGCAAATAAAAATCAAGCATAGTCAGTAGAGCGTAAAATTAAATTTTTTGTATTAAAAAAAATTGAAGATTTTCAAACATTTCGACTTTCTTTTGGGGTAATCTTCAGTGATAAAAAAAATATCATATTTTATATATTCAGCTCAATTCCACAACTAACGGCTAAGTCTTAACCGAGGTTCAATTTATTCATTGTCTCTTTCCAATTTTAGAATTAGAAAGAGATGAGAAACAAGTTAAACTTCAGTTAAGAATTAACTGTGAGTTGTGGAACTGAGCCTAAGTTGCTCCTCGAGTTCTAAGTGTGTATTGATCCCAAAAATTGATCCCAAAAGAATAAATATATTATTCACATTAATTGCACGGACCATGTCTCCTAAAATGAATAATCATGCACATACAGCCAGAATCGATATGGTGGTTTTTATAGAGAGTCCTTGAATTAATGTATTTTTTACAAATTAATAAAAAATTGATAAGAATATATTAAAAAGAACTTAAATAAACGTATTTTCATTAAACGTACTATATTATTTCAATATGTTTCTAAATCATTGGGTCTGATTTCTTGTAGCTGAATTATATGGTATATACTTATAATATATATGGTTATATATATGGTTAATATATATGGTATATACTTTTGGAATTTAAAATGCGACAGATATACTGGGTGTCTCAGAGCACCCATATCACCCTTTTAAAAGGTAGGGATGTGTTTGTACAAAAAAATGGTTCAGATAAAATTTGCAGGATTTCGGGAGATCTATCTGATGGTGACCTTGAATTTGACCTTGAGATTGACCTTGGGCATAACTCAAGGTCAAAGTACCGTTTTACAAATGTAAACCTTTATTCATGACATCACAAATGAAAATAGCGGAAAATTTTACGTCCGAATACGTTATCAAGCCTAGGTCAAAATTACTCTTAGAGGTCATGTGGAGGTCAAGTTACTTTTAGAGCACCCGTACCAACCTTCTAAAAGATATGGATGTGTTTGTACAAAAAATAGTTCAAACAATACTAGGTATTTATTAGCTATGATGCATCCATCTGCTGGTGAATTTGAATTCTACCTTTAGATTCATTTATAGTCGTGTACATCGATTTTTAAAGATTCCTAATTATCAAGATCTTGAACAGTCGATGCCGCCTGTGTCAGCGTTACCCAAGATGTACCACGTGGAGGTCACAAGGTCGGACTTACACCTCGTCGGAGTGGTTCCCCTTGCCGTCACCTTTGTTCATACGCATGTCTAGATTTCATTCAGTCTAGATTTTCGAAGTGTCCTCCACGTGCATGTAT